GACAACTTTGCTAGAAAAACTAAAGTTGTAATCTTCAATTAAGAAAAGTGGCAAAAGGGATCATGATATCAAACTTTGTCCCAGACTCATTAGTGGGAGTATGTCCAATTGTGGCTTGGTTTGGTTCAGTTTAGGAATGTCAACGGAGTCTCACGGGGTCGGGGAGTTTCTCTCTGTTTTCATCTTCGTCTTCATAAATGACGGGAATAAAAATCTTTATGGAGATTTTTGACAGGGTTATTTTTCATCAATTAATATCAAAATATATATTTTTTGTATTAAACATAAATAAAAATTGATTTAACATAAATAATTAAATTAATAAAATTGTTCTAAATAGAGATTAATCTAACATAAAACAACATGTTCCAAACATAAGTTGTTCCAAATATAAATAGAAATTAATCCAACATAAACCAACATATTTGGTCCAAATATAAGCAAAAATCAACCCAACATAAATAAAATAACTAAAGTAACATTCAACATGAAGGGAAGCAGCAAAGAGCCAACTCAAAACACTTTTAAAGGTTTGGGTTGGATTTGAGTTTTATTTTAAAAGTTAAATTAAATTTAAAATATACATTTTTTAATTTTTCGCGAGGATGGGGATCCCCGCGGGGTGGGGAAAATTCCTCTTGAAATTTCGCGGGGAGAAAATTTCCCCCATCCCCGCCCCGTCCTCGTGATGGGGATCCTCGCGGGGATCGGAGGAAATTGCCACCCCTAGTTCGGTTTGTGTAAGGATAGATCTAAGATTCATAATCTCGGACGTACTACTATAGTTCCTTAATAACCATAGTGAAGTTAAATTCAATACTTCCTTGTCAAATAGCTGTACGATAAATACAGTGAACATGCCTACACCTAATTTACCACACATGATTTTTCGGTCTCGAAATTATTGCCTAAAGGGACACGTTACACTTCGATTATCTTGTTAAACAAACCACGTGGACATCTCACTAAGGCCTATAAATATCTCCCAAGGGCCACCTTAAAAAGATAATTGAAATTGACCTAAAACTTTTTTTTTTCATTATTCTAAAGGTAAATCCGATTATTGCTGACTTAAGTATCAGAATGTCTATCCCAAGGACTCACCTTAGGGTTTTTGCAGGTTTATTCAGAATGGAGATGCGGATTGAAGAAAAACTTCTGAGTTGATGCAATTACAGTTTGGTTTACATTTTTTGTCTGATTTTTAACTAGATTAACGTCCAAGTTGTGCTTGATCTACTGTAAAACAACAAAATAAATAAATAAACAAAACAAATATCTAATCTCCGAGCCCACTGCCCCACGATAAACGCTAAAACAACAAAACAAAATAAATAATAATAAATAAATAAACGGTCCAGTCTTAAAGAGATAAGGACAAATATGGGTTTGTCATCCCTCTACTATTTTAAAAGGTTCAATTTATGACTTATTTAGTACAGCAGTTAAAATTCAACATATAGTGGAAAACAGGTAGCGGATAGTGAATAATGGTTAACGGATAATGGATGACGGATAATAGAAAGTTGATAGCGAATGATAAATAACGGATTCAATAAATATAACTGTTTGACTATACAATAATTAACTGTTATTATTTAATATTAAATGA